GCTTCTTTGAACACTTGGAACAACCAATATATGACCAACCGTGTTCTCCGTGGATGGCTGTAATTTTAGCTGTGCATAAGAACTCAATAACCTGGAAAGAACAGAAGAAGCAGATTATTTAAGAAGCTGAAAGTTTAAAACCGATTAAAATGAGTACAAACAAAACTCCACTTGAGATTCAGCAGTGTTGATGAACTGGTTGAGTTCAGAAACCGTAAGTGACTCTATCTTCTGGGCATGGACGATCTTTGATGAAGTTTCTGCTTCGAATGATCCCTGACCTAGCAAACTGCAATGGCATGCAAGTAGATAAACAAACACAAACTCTTAGTTAAATATTTCTGATGAACCAAACTCGTAAACTATAATTTAAATTGCAGGAAACTAACGTCTCATACACTCCCTTCCCAGCTTCAGTCTCGGAGTCAAAGTAGAGGTGGGTGCCGGAAGTTGCATTCAGGAATAAGCGGCCTATCAAAAGAGGTTAAAATCATATAACTAATAACATGTGTATTTCGAACAGGAACCGGGAAATTTAAAATCAAGATTACCCCCAACAATTTTAGGATTGACACTTGTGACGAGGACAATTTTGGGTTCTTTCCCATAGACATCAAACTTTGAATGGAACGCGACAGCCATTGAATCAAACATGCTGACACAGATGTTCTCACCACTGCAACGTATTGTTGGAAAAACACAAAAGAATTAGGATATATGGGAGGACCAAGAAATAAAGGAATAAGAGATTATAAAACATGAAAGACCTTTGCAGACGCAGTGTTAGCATCACACGCTGAGAACCTCCTATACGATCAGCGATAGTGCTCCTGATTGCATTCACCTCGCCAATTACATCTACAGAGAGAAAAAGTGAAGGGAAGCTTAAACACATGCTATGATTTTTTTAAAATGAACACTCAAGCAGCAGGAAAATACCAGGCAGTTGCTTCCCGGTGTTGGCCAACTCAAGAAGCTGATTGTACGGTAGGAATCTGAATATTTCCAGAGGTATAGGCCTATCAATCTCTGATTTCCTCTCAAGAGAGGTAGCATCAGTGAACCGGATTGTCAATGGGGCATCACACAACCTAAAATTGGTGTTGCTGCGAGTAACATCGAAGCTGCTCAATGTGTAGACAGATCCCTCCTTCAAACGGTCCCGGAACCTCATTTGACGGGTCGCAGCAATCGTTCCTTGCGTGAGAGTTGACTGTCGAACATTTAAATTAATAAGTTTTTTAATAATATTTGGTAGAGGCAGAGTCAAACGACAAACCAAACCGGAAAAAAAAAACCAAACGCAGAACACGGGGTCCGACCAAAGATAATCAAAACAACTTTCATAATATTAATAGAAATCAGGCGAAGAGGTTTGATTATAAACACTTTAAATCAAGTTTCATTCTCGAGTACCACCCAAAAATAAAAGAAACACAGATTCTAAAACACAATAACAGAGCTTAAACACACACATAACCGACAACTTTAGATTAATAAGTTTTTGAGTAATATTTGTCAGAGGCAGAGTTCAACCTCAAACGAAACCAACAAACAAAAAAACCCAAACGCAGAACACGGGGTCCGACCAAAGATAATCAAAACAGCTTTCATAATACAAATCAGGCGAAGAGGTTTGATTATAAACACTGGAAATCAAGTTCCATTGTTTAGTACCACCCAAAAAAAACAAAAATAACAGATTCTAAAACACAATAACAGAGCCCAAAACACACATAATCGACAACTTCTGTCTAAATTATCCAGGAATAACATGAACAACAGATGGAAAGTAAGAGGCTCACTTTTTCATCGACGAACAGCATATCGACGCTCATCAACTCACCACCTTTCCTAATATTCCGAGCCTCCCAAAACCTAAGCAACCGGACCTCAACAGCGGTGGAGCATCTCCCAGCTTTCAAATCAGCAAGAAGTGTGTATGAATTCTCCATGAAGGGTTCGAGCAATTGTACAGAGAAATCGTTTGGAAAAGTGGAAAGGGTAAGAGACATGGGTTTAGAGGGGTCTATTTATAGGGTCTCTGGGAACCGTCGCTTGGGAGGCTTGACTTAATGACAGAGTAATGGTTAATCATAACGTGGGAATAAAGATTGGAAATCAAAAGAGTATAACGGAAATTTGAGGACCACCAAAGCACTCTATCGCTCAGAAGTGAGGCGAGGGGAAGAAGGAAAGAGAACCCTAACATTCGATACGGGCTCTCTGTGGGCCACAAACCTTGTCGATTCACAAGCCCATCATGAACACAAAATTTAAAACAGCCCAACTATAGAAGGGACAGGTGGCAGCAATCGCCCATAGAAGGAGAAAAAAAAGTCAAGTTTATTATTAAAGAATTGTTTTAAAGATCAAAATAGTTGGATAAACCTTAATGCTTAACGAGTTCAAACAAAATAGTTAAAAATGGATGAAAAACGAACAATAAAAAAAAAAAAAAAAAAAAGCAAGTCTCACGCGGTTGCCTACGCAGATGGCTTAAAGAGCCTTAAAACTATCCTTTTATAATATAGTTCAACCCAAAAATAATAAAAAATGAATCCAAAAACAAACCGATCAAAAAAAAAAAGTGAGTCCCACGCGGCTACCTACGTGGATGGCTTAATGAAGCTTGAATAATATAGATTAAGAGCTCAAAAAGTGAAATCATTGCACATATTTCCTAATATATATTTTCAAAAAATTTGTATGTGAGATAAAATAAAAAAACAACAAAAATTAATTATTTTCGTTATTTATTTAATGAATATGTAATTTCTCTTACATTTTAATAACTACTATAATTTCATTAAAAACATTCCTCACCACTGATTTCTGACTCCGGCGAATGGATTCCCACAGTCGATGACGCCGTAAATAAAAATGCCACATCATTTATGAACAAAACTCAAACTTACAAAAAACCATATATAAAAACCTATCTAATGAAACTTAAACAACGAATGTTAACTTAATTAAGGTTATTTTCAAATTGATAAATCGTTTAATACAAATATAAATACTATAAATATAGAATTATATCAAGTTTTGACTTACGATATGAAAACTATTTACAGCAAAAAAACACCTACTTTTACACACTAAAAACTATATTATAGCCTAACTATTCCTATAAACCTTACTTCGCATATAAATAACATTTAACTCATTCCTAATATATTTTCAAAAAAATTTGTATGTGAAAGAAAATAAAATAAAAAACTAACTTTAAGTATTTTCGTTATTTATTAAATGAATATGTAATTCTCTTACATTTTAATAACTACTATAATTTCATTGAAAACATTCCTCACCACCGACTCCAGACTTCGGCGAATGGATTCCCACAGTCGATGACGCCGTAGATAAAAATGCCACGTCATTTATGAACAAAACCCAAACTTACAAAAAACCATATATAAAAACATATCTAATGAAACTTAAACAACGAATATTAACTTAATTATGGTTATTTTTAAATTGATAAATCGTTTAATACAAATAGAAATTCTATAAATATAGAATTATATCAAGTTTTGACTTACGATATGAAAACTATTTACAGCAAAAAAAAAAAAAAATAGACACCTACTTTTACACACTAAAAACTATATTATAGCCTAACTATTCCTATAAACCTCACTTCGCATATAAATAACATTTAACACATTAGATATACAATATTTCCGCTTTACACTCTTACTACATTCTTTTCATTTCATTATTATTTGGTGTCATTAGAAGAATCCACTAAACCACTAAATTGAAAAATATATACGCAAACATAATGATTCCGGCCCCGCGCTTGCGCAGGGAGTATGCATCTAGTATTTACTATGCTAAACAATGTTTTTGGTTAATTACAAATGAATGAATGTATAAATCATGTTTGTGTTCAGCGTTTGCTTTTCACATGTTTTTAAAAAGGTGAAAAATATTTTAACATGTATGTATAAACATAAAAAATAATTATGTATACATCTGTAGATGATTCAAACGCAACCAGAGTGACAGAATTGTAATAGAAAAAACAAGTGGAATGGTAAATAGAAGTTATAAATTTATGGTTGTTATAAATCCTACAAATCAAATGCTAGAGATGGAAGAAAAAGATGTACTATGCAGGCATCAAAATTTCCAGATAATTACACCGCAAGAAAGTTAGCAATTTAGATAAAAAAGGATTGAGGTGCGATATTAGATTACCGTTGTAAAACTATTTTTCCCGCCATCTTTTATTTCGCCAATTAAGTTTCAAGAAACTGGACTTTTAAATTCAAGCCTATGCATTAATATTTCTATTGGCCCATTTGTTGTTAAGTTTTGTTTGACTGATGAAACCTAAAATATAAAGTGAAGCTGAGACAATCTCTTTGGACAAAATATTTTTCTTTTATCAATGGGCAAAGTTTATATATTATATACACATATAGTTTACACCACCTTGATCACAAGGTCCTTGTGTTAGCGAACAAAATAATTGTAAGAAACTTTGTATATATACAGAATCTCGAAAGCAATTGCACATAGTTCACAAGGTCCTTGTTTCAGCCAACAAAACGACTTTTAAAAGCTGGTTTTTCTCTTTAGTCTAATTGTTTTTCTCAATCATTCCAATGATGAACGGTGATTCTCAATTTGATGGGGAAAGAAAGTTTGCAAAGCTGCTTGATCTTAGCTTTTGAAAAATGCCTATTTCACAAGGTCCATGTGTGAGCCAATAAAAAGGTGAAATGATTATTCTCTCTTTAATCTATTGTCTTTTCTCAATCAATGTTCCAACAACTGTAAGCTATTCTAAAGGTATAAAGAGCTCAACATCACAAATATGTAATGTAACTTTTACTTACCAAAAATCCGACTTAGCCATGGAGGTCTAAACCATTGATAAACACGTTCCTTAACCTTCTCCACCGAATCACTTGGCAAGAAATGATTCAATTAATCAATAAATACATATCCACGTGACATAATTCAATATAGGAGTGGCACGTCCAGAGCTCGATAACAACTTGCATAGAAATACTTCCAAAGTCTAATAAATTTCATATAAATTCTCACCTATCGATATAGATATATGTTCATAAATAATAAATACATGTAACATGTGTTCTCTTGTAAGGATCAAATCAAATCAAAACACTTAAATATACTTAACCAATCGTTCTCACTTAGAACGAGTCATCATCGTCGTGAGAACCAGAGTGACTCAGCTCTGAGTGGTTAATGTTAACCACCGGAAACAGCGGCGTGACGGTCTGGTTAGACGGTGAAGGTCGTGATCCGTACACTGTCCTCTCGTTTACACGGCCAACTTCTTTACAAACTTGATCAAGAATCGTCAAGAAGTCTCTGACCACGGTGAAAATTCGAAAAGGATGAGATTCTAAGTTCCCGTGGAAGTACTCTGTTACTTCTTTAACCATCTTCATGACATTGCTTCCATGAGATTGTATCTCTCTGATCTCTTTCTCACCTTTGTCCAAAAACAAGTTCATTGACTCCAAGAATCTCTCTACGCCAGTTTCTTGCTTTAGCTCCAAGATCACTTCCTTGACTTTTGTTATCCCGCTGGCGAGTTCAGCTGTCTCCTTGCTGAGGGAAGTTGAGTCCATTGCAGCTGCTTTCTTGACGTTTATCAACTGTGAACTGAGACCTGAAACTACTTGCAACCCAAGTTTCTTCAACTCTATGTCGTCTTGGAATGCTGATTGCTCAGCTATATCATCATCTCCTACAGGGCTTTGGGTTGGAGTAGAAGAAACCCTAGCTCCTTCTGATTTAATGATCTCTTGAACCACGAAGTGTAGCAAGGTGGTTTTGCCATCAGCGCCTTTGATGTCAACCAGTTTCAAGAGTGTATCAAGCTTGAAAGCATGTGCATCACCTCTATTAGTCCCTATATTCATCCGGTTACCGGTCTTGAGAACCGCTTCTAGAAGCTTCAAGAACATCCTAGTGTTCTTTAACTCACCACAAGCAACCTGAAAGTTTGATCAAAATACATATGAATGTTCTGTTTTTTTTTTTTAATTAGCAAAATGAGGAGAAAGTAGAGTTTTACCTCGAGTGTGTGGAAGGATCTTTTAAGGTATTCAGTTTCTGAATCAAAGTTGACTATGTAAAGCATTGCATCAATCCTCTTGAAGGCTAAAGGAATGTTGAGCAATGCTCTGAGGAATCTCTCTGCAGGTCCAATCTTTGAAGTAGATTCATCATATTCTTTAAGGTCCTTAAGCTTGTCCTCTTCTTCTTTAGTAGGTGCCATCTTAAGCAGACACGCAAGTAGCTCGGGTCCTAGCGTATCCGAGTTGCCTGATTCATCACCAAGAAAAACGTTTTGAGCTCTTCAGACCAACTTGTGCATATGTAATAACAGATTGTGTAATAATAATTCACCTTCTACAAGGGCTTCACACACTTCATCAGCAGTTACATTAAGAGCTCTAAGCAAGATTTCAATGTTGTGTGACTTTCTTGGATCAAGAAACTGATTCTCTTGATTAACAGATTGAACAGCACCTGCGTTTCCGACATCTCTTGTTCTTGAACTAGGATCATTCGCTCTGAACAATGTCTCTATCATCTCTTCATTCACTCTGCAAAAAGACCAAACAAATCATATAAAAGGGAGACACGAATTGTTTATTAGAACATCAAGTTCGTTACTTATTTACTTACTGAAACGAGTTTGATTTCATTTGGTCCCACACCATAACACGACTCGAGCTTGCTCTAACTTTGTCCCAATGCAAAGGCTTCAACTTTGGTTTCAATGCATCAGAAGGAGGCGAGGGCGGCGTGGTGGCCGGAATCTCAAAAAACTGCGGCGGAGGAGGAGGAGGCGGTGGTGGAGGTGGAGGTGGAGGAGCTCTCACCGGACCAGGCTGCTTCAAAACGCTGTCGTTTGAGCTGGTTTCACTAAGAGGAGGACTAAGCGACTTAGGTTTCAAACTAGTCGCCGGAGAATCATGAAACGACGTCGGAGAACACGAGTTAGACCCTTTAACACTCTTAACAACACCACCAGAATCCTCCACGACACTCTGTTTACGTCCCGAAGACCCCCTCGGAGAGAAAAACTCGTCGTCATCTTCGTCTTCTCCATCAAAGTCTTGTCTCTTAGGGTATAACTGTTGAGGGCTTAAGTAAACAGGAGAGTAAGACGCAACCTTCGGTAACGGAGGAAGAGGACGAAGCTCGGGAGAGCCTGGCTTATTGTAAGAAGAAGAGGAAGTGGAGGAGGATGAGGCCGGAGCTGGTGGTGGTGGTGGAATCTCCAAGACGCCGCGGGAGAGGGAGACGGGAGACTTCTGCTGAGGTAATAAGCCTTCGCTTCGTGAGTTAACTAACGTGCCTAAGTAGAGGAAGTCAGAGGAAGTGTTTGATGACGTGGTGTGTGGCGGCTGTTTTTTGTGTTTTTTACGAGAGGCTCCGTCGGAAGGAGAGGCGTCGAAGAGGTTGAGAGAGTCTGATCTTGTGGACTTGGTTTTGTTGTAGTACGCGGGGAGGCGGTTTCGGTTGCGGCGGCGGCGGCGGAGGAAGATGATGAGTACGACGAGGAGAGAGAGGAGAACGGAGGAGGAGATTACGGAGACGGTTATGGAGACGAGTTTGGCGATGTGGCGGTTATTGTTGTGAGGTTTTGAGGGGTTGTGAGGTGGGAAGAAGAGGGAGGAGATGTTGGCGGGAAAAGTAGGGATTGAGGCTGGTGGAGGAGGAGGTGGTGGTGGTGAGGGGTGGACGGCGTTGGAGGGGAAGAATGGGTTTGAGTGAGGGGTTGGAGGAGGGCTTGTGACGGAGGAGAAGAGGTGTTTATCTTGCGGTGGAGGGGCTGATTGATGTTTCTTGTGGCGGTGGTGTTTGTCCTGGGGAGGCGGTGGAGGTTGGGGAGAGGACGGTGGTGGAGCGATGGGGTAAAAGGGTTGATGGAGTAAGTGACGAGAGTGGAGACGTTGATCGGCGGAGGAGGAGGAAAAGAAGAAGAAAATGATCACAGCAAAACGGAGGAATAAGGGTATTTTAGACATTTTGTTAAACTGTGGTTCTTTCTTGGGGTTGACGTTGTTGTGGTATTCAAAAACTGACAGTGGAGAAGCTTTTGGTCTGGTTGATGAAGAGAGATAGAGAGAGGTTTGGTGTTTACTAGGAGTAGGGATGTTGTCTAGCGGGTTAGGGTTGGGCCCGCTTTTGTTTATTATAAGCCCAGCCCTATTTTAACCCAACCCTATTTTAGCCCTATTTTATTAAAGGGTTAGGGCTGGTACCAGGGTTAGCCCATTTAGTCATTTTTGTAAATCAATAATTCATTAATTCTTTGTAAATCAATTAAAATCAAAGTTTACATATTTTTTTAAATTCAAGTATAATCATATAAATGGAAAAAGAAATTATGAATCATAAAAAAAAGTTCTTCATTTTTGTAAGTTTTAAAAATGAAAAAAAAAACAAAGTTTACATTCTCAAACAAAATTCAAAATCAAACAAAGTTCAAAATCAAACAAATTATGATTTATGGACCAACACTCCTGATTTTACATAATCAAGAAAGCTGTAAAATTGCAATAAGTATATACTTTTACATATGTTTCATGGTTTTTCTAACACGGCCAAAGTAGTATATATGTTTACATAGAGAGAGAAATCAAAAGAGATTACAAATGAAACACGGATCATTCAAGTCATGTAAACATCTCACACCAAAGAGAAGAAGAAGTACATTAAAAACCTGCCCTCAGAAACAACAACCACCTACTACTATACATTGAGTACGAAAGAGAATGAAGAAAATCCCTGTTTCACCACTGCCACCAATCATACAGCAAACAAGAANAGAGAGAGAAATCAAAAGAGATTACAAATGAAACACGGATCATTCAAGTCATGTAAACATCTCACACCAAAGAGAAGAAGAAGTACATTAAAAACCTGCCCTCAGAAACAACAACCACCTACTACTATACATTGAGTACGAAAGAGAATGAAGAAAATCCCTGTTTCACCACTGCCACCAATCATACAGCAAACAAGAAAGAAAAAGAGAGGAGTGAGTCTTGAGTAATCATTAGTCCTAATAAATTTACTTGAAATCGAAAAAGCCAGTATCTTTCGTTTTATATTCTACAACCTGTACATACATCTCTAGTGTTTTCTGTTTAATGAGTGAGAAAGAAGCCAAGAGCACATGTGTAAAACAAAATGCATGAAGAAGATACTTGAGAGAAAATGAGTATATATCGAAAACACACACATAAGACAAAGCATTTGTTGTTACCAAGACTTATTAATACACGAAACAATGACATAAATGGTATAGATACAGCGTTGATGTATATTTCCGTTAGCATCGTCTACAAGTTAAAGCCACAAAACCCAGTCGACAAGAAAATATACACGAAACAATAACAGTCTACAAGTCACAAAACCCATCTAGGAACCAAGAAACAGAACATAAACAAACAACCGCTCTCTAGGATCCTATCACTTTAAGTTTAAAAGCTAAAGCTATGAATTGAATACCATCATTGACCAGAGAAGAGATGATGGTATAATATCAACTCTATAAACACTGGTTATATAATAAGGATTAAAGTTGGAAGATATTACAAGAGATAAGCAACTATTAAAACTTCACAATTACCTGAGAAGCTGTGATGTTGAAACCCTCCTGAGAAGCTGAGATGTTAGACTCCCGGCTTTGTATCCTATAGGTACATGACACAAAGAACAAAGAAAGTGTATAATCAGTTTCCATCATTATTCATCAACATAATCTCTATCATACTAAGACTAAAGAGACAGAGCTAAACAAAGCTTTCATGAACAACCCTTTAAAGAGACAGAGCTATACATAGCTTTCATCAACTAAACTCAAACATACACATCAACATACAAGCCAAATAAGAGCTTCACACTGACACACACACGCAAATACTAAGTCATCAACATACAACACTCGTATCATTGAGACCAAAGAGACAGAGCTAAATAAAGCTTTCATCGACAAATCTAAACGAGCTAAACAAACCCTAGATCGATTTCGAATTTTCGACAAACCCTAGACACTCGATTTTCTCACCGATGCCAAGGATAGGAAGAGATTGCTCGACGGAACACAGAGGATCTCGAGAGAGGAGGAGGATGAGTGACACAGAGGATCGCGAGAGAGAGTCGCGATTTGTTTTCTTCGATCGAGAGAGAGTTGAGCTTTTTTCAATTAAAAAAAAANCTAGATCGATTTCGAATTTTCGACAAACCCTAGACACTCGATTTTCTCACCGATGCCAAGGATAGGAAGAGATTGCTCGACGGAACACAGAGGATCTCGAGAGAGGAGGAGGATGAGTGACACAGAGGATCGCGAGAGAGAGTCGCGATTTGTTTTCTTCGATCGAGAGAGAGTTGAGCTTTTTTCAATTAAAAAAAAATGTTATGGGCTTGAGGGTTAGCCCGAGTCTATTTTAAACCGGCCCTATTTTAACCCATAACAAAGTAACGGGTTTAGGGGTTAAGAAAATGAACGCGGGCTGAGCTAACCCTATTAACTAAAGCCCATGACAACATCCCTAACTAGGAGTCGTTTTAGAGAGAGAAAAGGGAGGGAACATTAAGTAGGTGTCACAATTCCTTAAATAAGTTTAGGTGTTCGTATTAGATTTGATTGCGAAATGGTAGCTCGTGTTTTATTTCCCCTTATTTATTTCCACGTTCCTTTATTTATAATCCATAAAGCTTATAAAAGAAATTTATGTAAAATCGAGTAATAAATTTTGTTCAGAACACAAATTGAATGAGATGATGTTTGGTTGGACCATTTGTTAGCAGATAGATCGAGTTTCCAGCTAATTAATGATTGCTGTAATAATGTACATCTTTCCCAACAAGATTTCTTCAATTATTTATTTTAATCAGGTTTTCAGAGATTAAGGCGTAATTAGGACCCTTTTTGCTAGTATTAATTATCACAAGATTTAAAGATTTAGTTTGTGATGTTCACTACCACAATTAGTTGAACAATATGGTTTCTTCTTCTTTATGTTTTTGTAATTTACTTGTTATTGCGAAATAATGGAAAGGATCATGAAAATTTTTGAGACTGTACTAAATAGCGAAGTCAACATTTTCGTCCTATACAACCACATTGAATCCGTAATAAATAAATCGAATTTATTGAATCCAAGACAAACAAATTTCGATGGTTTCAATAGTAGTAAAAAATCTGCATGGTAAAGTGCTATCTATTCAAGTATATATTAGTATCATTTTATTTCTTACCATATTATCTGAAAGATAACGTAAATTTTACTTTATATATTTTCTGTAACCTGAAATCATATACTTTCTCCGTTTTTTATAGTTGACGTTTCATAGACATTTTTTGTTCTAAATTATTTGACATTTTTAAATTTCTATGTAAAGTTTATTAATAATTAATATTAGATAATCATTGATATAATAAATTATATTTTATTATTGATTAAATAGTGGTTATAGAAATAAGTAATGATGTTTTTGTTTAGAAAATGAAATAAAATTAACTATTTTTTAATCTATGTGAATAATCTTAAAACTTCAAATATGAAAAAAGGAGTAAACAATCTTGAAAGAAAATAAAGAGCCTAAACTCATATTCTATAAAGAGCCTAAGATGCATCTTATTTTATATTCATTCTTTGCATTTATCAGTGTAATTTCCAGAGCTGTTTTTTTGTGTGATGTATATTTTATTCAAGTTCCTATTTTTAGAGATTAATCTCATCATTTTCCTCTATTTCTCAGCGAAATTAGTTCACCAATTTTTTCCTTCTCTTTCAACATCCAGGTGTACATACATGACGAGCTAAAGATTTAGTTTCATCTTTAATGATAACTAACTCAAAATATATTTCAAACTAATCATTCCTAGAATCTTTTGAAAAAGGTTTCAATATTTATTTATAATTTAGACCATTGAACCTATCTCTTTAATCAACTTGTAATATATTAATGTAAGTTTGCAAAAGGTAACTGATAAATATCATGAAACAAAACTCAAACTAATTAGTTCCTGACATCTCAAACTTTAGCATAAACACTATTTAAAATATATATAAAAAAAAATTATGTATGCTCAGTATTGAAAATCATAATATATAGGAAAACCAAATCCTTGACCTTTCCCACTTCCAAAAAATATAGAACCAATCTAAATGTACCTTTACACTTCAGTTCTTTAAAGACATATAGAAACATATTTCTTTTGTCAAATGATATTATGACATGTTAGTACTTTGCATTAAAGTGTATTTCAGTTGAGATTATTTAAGGAAGACTAATTATGTACCAAACTTTTTAATCAAACAACACTGCACCACATTACATATCTCACTTCGACGCTAACTTAACGATTGCTCTAATATGTGTTCAACACAATTCAATGTCACAAACCGTTACACATTTGAGATAATGTAAAACGGACAATGGATTTATTTGGTCGGCTGTACTAAACTTATAGAATTATCCAAACTTTTCCGTTTACAAATGATCTAAACCAGTTCGTCCACAAAAAGCTTTAGTCGATATATAACCATAACAGAACAACAACCTGGTCCGTATAAAATAAACACGAAAATCATGTGGCAGTAAAAGAACAACATGTCTTTGTTTTACTAGTTGTTCTGAAAATCACTTCTTGTGACATGTCTTTGTTTATTTGTGGATGGACCATTGTAGTCAGGTTAATATAGAATCACTTAAAGTTTTATTATGTTTAATCTAAAATTCCTATAATATACTCTATAACATTTTATACATCTTGGTTTTAACATTTAATATACAACCACCATTACACTAATTGACGACGTAGATCAAACTGAGTGCATAAAGAGCTTGCAGAGGAAGACGACGAAGGTTTGACTGTAAACATGTGAATCCAGGAGGTCGACTGAGTCATAGCTTCTTTAGTTTCTTTAACAGACACGTGTCAGTCTTCTTCACGATTTGTGCATTCTCTTCTTCACCGGCTATCGCATGTTCCGGTATATCAAGGACAAAACCCCCCACACTACACAAAGCTATTTAATCAAGATGTTACTTTTTCAGCTATGATGCACCAAAAACATACAACCAAACTGTACAAATGGACTATGTATGATCTCTATCACTATTTATTGTTGATTCCAAATGTGATTTTATTTCGGCATCATTTCAAAAGTGTGTTTTCAGTATTCTAGAATTAAAACTTCAGAGGAAAAAAAAACTATGATTTATAACTTAAATATCTAGGTGGACAACAAAATAAAGTATTAACATCTTGAATCTTGAAACTAGAAGAAAAAAAAGTAAAAGGAGGTGTTATTATTTCTGATCAGGCTAGTCGCAGGTGGATGGTTCATAACTTCTTATCATACACCAGAGAGTCATGCTGCAGTGCTAGCTTGGCTAATCTCAAGACTACACACGAGAGTAAGCATATCATTGCTGCTAAAATGCTAAAGTGGTTTAGGACAATAACGCCTTTTATTCACAGCGCTCACCTTCAACCATCACAAATTGAAAATTGACCTCACGGCTGGTTAAGCTGATTTGAAATGATCTTTTCATGGCTATCCATGGTATAGGGTTCTTATGATCAGCAGACTCTTTACGTTTTATGTTATGATCTGACAAGAACTGTTTATCCCTTTATATACTTCACGTGGCCCTCTTTGGACGAAGAAATGAGAAGAGGGGAACTTGAAGCATATCCTGATAAGTTGATGTTGAGAGCATAGAGCTCAGCTTGATGCTCAAAGTACACTATGAAGCTCCCAAGAGAAGAAGTAACCATTCTAGCGATAGATATACATATGTTCTTATTTGATCTTTTTGATATTGAAAACTACAATAATCTCATATTCCTTATGTTTTACAAAGCAAAAAAAAATTGATAATGCTGGAAAAGAACATCTTGTAATACATGAAGACTATTTCTGAGATGATCTTAATTTATGTCTTAATAATTGCAACAAGAAATGAGGGCAAATTACAAATACGTAGAAAAGACAAAAACAGAGAAAAAAAAACCTGGTACAAGACTTAATGTTTGAGCCCCATTGATCACATCTCTCACAAGTATACACAAAAGACAAACAATGACATTTTGCTCCTTTTAAGAATCAAAACCAAACCTGATCCCATTCAAGCTATTGCTGATACTCTGGATTGAAAGCCAGCGCTTCACGGTATATAAGCTCCTTCATCTGCTCCTCTGAGAGTGCATGCTGTTCAAAGTCGAAGTTGAAAGGTATTGTGCACTCTGGCTCATCGCTAATGTCGTGCAGAGAATTCAGGTACGGATGTGCCAGCGCGTCTAAAACTGCAATCAAGAATCAAGAAGCTGTGAGGACTTAACTTATTCAAAACAGAGTCAATAACTCCTTATTCCTTCCTTTTTTTTTGCAAGTTAGAAGGTATTATTGAGTGGGGACTGACCTGTGATTCTCCGCCTAGGATCAAATGTTAGCATCTTCTCGATAAGATCTATGGCTAAAGGATTCACCGTTGGGAACTTATCAGTGATGGATTGGCGAGGATACGGTGGAAGTTGTCTCATGTAACGCTTTGCATTTTCATTCAAAAACTCAACCTCTTGTTCGGATGGTGTTCCTATGAGCTGAAATAAGAAAGAAAACTATCTCAACATGTTTCTTTTACAGCATCAAAAAGAGCTTCAAAGGTTACTACTACTTACCTCCATGAGCAGGCGAAGCTGATGAACATGGTCACGACCAGGGAAGAGTGGCTTACGGTCCATTAACTCCATGAAAATACAACCAACAGACCAAACATCTATCGCAGCAGTATAATCAGAAGAGTTTAAGAGCAGCTCTGGTGCACGGTACCATCTCGTGACAACGTACTCAGTCATGAAGTCACTCTCGGAATTGACTCTAGCTAACCCGAAATCACATATTTTTAAGTCGCAGTTTGCGTTTAGGAGGAGGTTGCTAGGCTTCAAATCACGGTGAAGCACGTTTGCGGAGTGAATGTATTTCAATCCACGGAGGATCTGGTAAAGAAAATACTGCACAAAAGAAGAAAGGAAAAATGAGGTATTAGAGTTCTCAAGAAGAAACAATCTCATGAACTCTGAAGATAACCTGGCAATGCTCTTCGGATAAGCCTTGGTTGGACCTTATGATCTGATGGAGATCAGTGTCCATTAGCTCATAAGCTATGTAGACATCATTGAAAGAGGTTCTTAGTGGTGGTGGTATTATGTCTCTGATTGCAACAATCTGATTAAAGATAGTACAATTGTTCTATTAGTTTAGATTATTCTGAGACTCGCATCTTAAACAACAAGATCTTCTGACATAGATGGAGGATACCATATGCTACTAATCTAAGCACTAGACCATCCACATCAAACCAAGTAAAATGCAGGCAACAGTCATGTTAATTCCTTCTTAATGTAAAACGTTATGAATCAACCAGCTGCAACCAATTTATTCACAAATCTAATCAAACATGTGCAATAAAAATCCAAATATATTTGTTCATCTAAACAAGTAGGCATTAACTAGAATCTATCAACCTATTATGAGCTCATACATTAAGACTATAAACATATGATTAATTATTAGTTATGAATTAGAAGAAGAAAAAAAACTGACATTCTCATGATCCATGTGGCGAAGAAGCTTGATCTCACGGAGAGTCCTCTTAGCATCAATCTTATTATCAAAAGCGTTTGCAATTTTCTTAATAGCAACGCTTTCATTCGTTTCAGAGTTCATAGCCGAACTGCATAAATCAATTAAAGGATCAAACTTTATATACAAAAAAAAAAAAAAATCATTTTTTTGAAGATATTTTCGAATCAAAGTTGGCAGCTTTACCAAACCCAAATCAACAAAAAAAGAAATAATTACCAAACGATGCCATAAGCGCCCTTTCCAATAGGCATAATCGGAGGCCTATACTTAGCGGTGACCTCGAAGATGTTCCCGAATATGTTATACTGTATAAACTTCCCTCCGTGGCTTAGCGTCGCCGGAATATTCTCTATTCCCGGGACCTGAGGCGAAGGCTGCGATTCCGACATCTCCGTATCAGCCGCCGGTTGACCCGTTCCACCGTCCATTTAACGCCGGTGATTAAAGAAGAAGAGGAAATTAGATATTGATTGGTTTTTTTTTGGGGTCAAGACAGATCTGAAGAGAGAAGAAGGAGACAGAAAGTCATGTGCGTGCGGAGGACATAATCACGTCTTTTTTTGTTGTTGTAATGGTTTTTATCGGTCTTTCACACTTGCTTGAACCGTGCCGTGTGTAAACCACTGTTTTTATTTATAATTAAAGCCATCTTCTTTTTTTTTTTTTGAACACAAATTCAAGCCATCTTAAATCACATCTTTTGAGTATTATTTTTAGTTTTTAATTACAGTTTTAATAAATTTAAACACGGTGTCAAGAGTTATCCACACAAGTTGTAACGTGTTTGCTCAACATTCTACTTTTCCATGTAACAATCAAATTAAGATATAGGGGTAAACTTGTGTTAATAAAAAGGTATGTGACTCGTTTTGATATTATTGTGGATTATAGGGATCTTAACGAAATAAACAGCTACTAATCACATCTTTTTGGTGTTTTAGCTGTTAATTACACGTTAAATAGAGATTTAAAACAAAATTAATCACAATTTGTAACAATCAAATTAAGATATAGGGGAAACTTCTGTTAATAGAAAAGTATGGGACCCTTTTTTTAATATTATTGGAGATCATAGGTATCTTAACCAAATAATTAGCTACTAATAACATAATTTTTGTTTTTTAGCTGTTAATTAGATGTTTCATAAATTAAAACATAACATTATCTACTTACTAGAACAATCAAATTGAGATATGGGGTAGCTTGTGCAAATAAAAAAGGTATGGGACTCATTTTGGTACTATTGTAGATTATAGGGATCTCAACAAAATAATGGGTCGGACTCTCTCTCGATCTTTTTTTTGCAGGGTTTAGGGTTTCGATAGATTGGAATCTACGAACCTTTAGGCTTCCTGCAGCATTGGGCCATCATTTCCTCTGTATAAGAAAGATACATCCTTTGATTAGCTTTGCAGGTTCGATTTGATTTCAGTACTGATTGATTCGTGTAGATACCCAGGAATGATGATAGTTGTCATTTGATTGGTTTCTGCTCTGTTTTCATTTTGGTACTTTTGATCTGGTTTTGAGATCTCCCGCCTGAGTAATGGAAGCGTTGGGTTCAAGATGTTAGCTTTGATGTCAGAGCTTCTGACTTTTGATAGGGTTTTTAGTTTCCTTTCTGAGTTTTGGTTGATTGATTTTGTTGAAGGGAAGCTAAAAGCATCTGACTTGTGCCGACTGTTATTGACTTTTTGAACAATTATGTTAAAACTGATGCACATGAGCAAATGATTGTCTCTTAGTGGGATTTGCTGTCTGTTGTTCTGTTTTGCTGGAACCTTCAGTTTCTGACATCAGATATGCTTTACTCAGATTTGATCTCGCATGCTCATTGTGTCTCACTTTACCTTGGCATAGTAGGTCTTAGGGTGAAGAATACAAGCACACACATTAGTATTCCTGTTTTCACTATATGAACACAACATATCTATTTTCCTCCAGTTCCTTAGGGCTTATGGGGTCTCTGCAATGTTAAAGTTCTCATTTAATACTACTTATAGTATTAAAAGCTAATTATAGTTCTGATCTCTTCTATAACATGTGACAGTTTACACTTTGCTTGAATCTCTCGCAGGTTAAAGAGACTTTGAAACGATGTCAGGATTTCCAGGTTTGAGTTTCCTAGGCCCAAAAAGCAAAAACGCGGTTGTAGCGGGAGGCTTGACAGCGTTTGTTTTTGGGGTCTATTTCTACACGATGAAGGCTGTTGGTGGTACAGACGAGCTTCAGATGGCTATAGACAAGTTTGAAGACCAGAAACAAGTCGAGACCAACCCCAAGGTTCCATCAAAAGTCTGATCTTCGGAGGCTTTGATATGTCCAACGATAAGTTTATCTTTGTCTTCCAAGTTGTTGCTTTACGGCTCGTTTCTGACATCATTTTAGCATCAGTGTTTGAGTCTCAAGTCGAATCCTTAATACAATGGTAAAATAAGAGAATGGACTTCGTTTTGATGTTCTTGACTTTGTACCTAAACGTCTGTTATAAAGTTTGGTTATCCAAGAGAGTTTTTTTGCCTGGGTAAGAAGATGCAGGTGGTTGGCTATTTGGACCAAAAAAAAAGTATTATGTTGTTCATTCTGAAATCACGGTCTTATCTTATCAAACATTTTACAAATATAGCTACGGGAATACAAAATGTATATTCATCCATCTCGCTATTATCTTTCTTCGTAACGCGTTGTAGATTTCTGTTTTAAGCAACTTAGCTCTATGAAATCTTTCTGCGAATGCATGGTATCTAACTTAAGCTCTTCTTCAAATCTTCTTGTTTGTACATCAGCTACTAGATTTTCTGTTAGTGGTCCAAAGCTAGGATCTTTAGAGAAGATCTCGATTTCTAAATACTAGCTTCGTCTCACCATCACATTGTTTGTTCATGTTGAACTCTAGAGAGGATGTCACTCTAGTCTACTCATTATTTATTTTACATAAAACCAAATAGCACAAAAGTAACTAATTACTTGGGACTTTTTTTTTGCTTACTTCCAATGAACACAAAATAAGGAATTTCTCTAGGATTCTTAATTTTAATTACTTCGATAGGTCTCTATCTCAAGCCTATCCTCCCTACTCTCTCTCCCTCTGAAGCCGCCATCCTTTAATTTATCTTCGTTAATCATTACTATTTATCTTTAATTTCCTTTCCTTGTCTTCAATGAAAACAACTCGAGTTATTTCTGTTATTTATTGAGTTCTGAGAAGAGATGATATGTGAGGAAACTGAAGATTCAGAAGAAAGAGTATTTACATTATGTACCAAATCCGTATATACGCCGTTTCCTTATTTCTTTGATAATAGAGTTGGCTATTTTTGTGGCATCGATTGTACAGGTTCGTGAAGAGGGCTGGACGAGTGGAATGAGGGAGAGCGGCTCGATCGAGAAAAAAGTTTTTAGCAGGATATTTTTGAGTTTTCATACCTTTAGGAAGAATACTAAGAATAAATGGAAATTCTAATAAATCAAAATAAATATGATGGAAACGAAAGAGGAGGAAAGAAAGCATAAATGGGCAAGTAAATACAAAAAGATGAACAAGAGATTCTGAAAATATTTTAGTATTAAATTTTTGGTTTCTATTAATCATATTTAATGAACTTTCTGTTTTCAAGTTTATTTATAGTTTTCTTAAGGTAGCTTTCTTAAAGAAATTATGTCAATCTTTCGAGTTTTTGAGTATATATAATGGATCCTCACAAGAACAAATTATTATACGATTATAAACAAAAAGAGTACTCAAAGATGTTCAAACTGGAACCAATCGGATCAACTCTTTTTAGTTCCGACGTGGTTTGGGACGAGAAGGGACACGCCAGGATCTCTTATATATATGTAACTTTCACCGACGATGGCATTAAATCTATTCAGTTCATCTATTTTCATGAGGGAGTTCATGTCGAGTCTAAAAAGCACGGTTACTCCGGAGGTAAACACACCACAAGAGTAAGTTTTGTTAGAATCTTCAGCTTCTTTTTTTTTTTTTTTTGTTTCCGTTCGTAGTTACAAAAATCAAATGTGTTTGCATGAACCTTCAGATTTTGTATCTACAAAGTTCTTCTTTACATTATATAGTTTTTTTGGTAAGTTATGATGAAGTCAAGGCAAATATATAAACAGGTGAAACTGGAAAACGATGAATATTTGACTGCATTGAGTGGAGTTTATGGTGAAAAGCGTATCACGTCTTTGACATTTCACACTAATAAGAGGAGCCACGGTCCGTTTTGTAAGAGAGATTATGATATAAGTTTTATGAGGAAAATTGATGTGGGGATATGTGACCGCAGTGAGTTTTGTGGTTTATTTGGGTCTTTCTCCGAGGTTAAATATGGCGGCTATCTGACATCCATTGGCATGTATGTCTCTCACAATACAAGCATCATTGACCAAGACCCTAGAACCAGGTTCGGAGCCACCTACGACGATCACCACTTCGTTCGTTCGGAATCATTGGATCATACAAGCACGAGTGGTCATTATCAATGCCCCAACATCGTTGATGGTTTTCCTGTCAATCCCATACGTCGTCGTGAGTCCAAACTCAAAGACAAGATACTCTCCAAGTTTAATAAAGCTATTCGGTTCCTTCTTAACCTTTGATTATATTTTTCGTTTGCATCCATGCAAGAGGTTTAATACTCTTTAATTTGAGTTTATATTTTGTTTTTTATGTGCTTTGAACTAGAAGCCATACATACTTTAGTGGATGAATGCCACATTGTTTTATAAGCATCAGTTTTCAGTTAAGCTATTTGTTTTAGTCGAATAATTGTTCACTACGGCATCTGCTTATATAACCACTTTGGCTTGTTTCTTTGAAGCCTCTTAGACTTGAGGTTGCCTTCTCGCCATTATCAACCGTTTTACAGCCTCATAATTTGTCTTTATTAAACAACAAGATAACCTCTATTAAAATCATTCATCACTTGAATACTCCCTGACTGGTGCCGTGGTAGCAAAATATGAAAATTAGTTGGTATTCACAAAGCAACAACATGATGCTTATAAACTCATGGCTGAAAGCAAAAATATGAAAATTCGCTACCTCTCATCACAAATCCACTGTTTATATTGGCTAATAAATGTCACTTTTAATGACACAGCGAACTAGGCTTGTATCTCCAACATACCATCGAACAGAACATTTATTTATGTTTATTAGACCTCCATAGAAAATAGAATCATGGTATCATAAAGGCTCGTCTAAATATGTACTAGTAAATTGTAAATTGGTGGTTTTGCTCAAAGTATTAAATTATCAAAGTTAAGATTGAATTAATGTCCTTTGACCCTGGTATTACTTGCACCCTACGCCTTCCATAAAATTAAAGTCACCAAGACTCTTCGGGTATTTGAATCCTATATAATCACATCATGTCTCGTTATCTCTCTTCAAACTTGTGTTCTTAGCTGTTACTTTGATGGAGATGATCGCAGCAGGTCCAATTGGAGACTATGTGCCAACAGACAATCATTGGGACGAGAAGGGCAAAACCATGGTCTCTCATATATTTGTTTCTTACGACAGCGAATATATAAAATCGATTCAGTTTGGCTACTCTGAGAACGGAGCTCTAGTCATGTCTGCAATGCACGGTCATTCCAAGGGACCAAACTTCCGAGTTGTAAGTTGATTGCATAAAACGTTATTTTCTTTCTCTTGATGACATAATCTCTGATGAAACTACACAAACGCAGGTGAAACTGAATCACAATGAGTATGTGACTGGACTAAGTGGAGAAAGACTTTGGGAAACACGGACCCATTTGTGTGCCAGGTCGAGACCCCGTTTATAAACCTAGATTTCAAGAAATTGATCTGGCGATATCTGAGCGTCGTGAGTTCGGTGGTTTCTATGGATCTTACGATGCAACTAAGCTGACATCGATCGGTATCTATATGAGTCCCATTCCAAGCTCAGTTGTTAAGCATGAAAAGGTTTGACCAAGCAAGCCTCACAAGTTGTTGTATTGTCGTTTATCTGAAAGAAGCACCTCTTGAATAAGGAATGCCTCATCGTTACTTAATGTTCAATTTTTATTGCTTAATTTATAAACTTGCTATAGGAATACAGAGAAAACGTATAAGGCTGAGAAGCATATACTAAAATTGATAACCGCCGCAAGTTCCGCCGTTCCGAATGGATCTCCACCGTTCCAGCTCTGCCGCTCCTCCAGCCTCCGTTTGAAGATGATCTGCTCCTCCCCCATGGCCTCGATGGTGACTTCTTGTCTGTCGCGAGCCAGGCCTCCTCCAGACCCGCCGCCATCATCTTTGTGTAAGCTCCGCTCGTTTAAGGCTCGCTCTCTCTTCGCCTCTCCAGACGTCTCCCTCCTCCTTGGTTCCGTCGACCCCGTCGTCTCCTCCATATCCTCCACTTGCGTCGAGTCTCCGCCAGATCCAGATCTAGATCCAGATCTAGATCCAGATCTAGACCCGTTTTTCACCTCCCTCCGGGACCTCCTCGTCGGCGTCTCACCTCCAGACCCTCCTGACCCTCCAGACCCTCCAGATCTGATCTCTTCTCCATGGCGACGACTTGCCTTCTCTATTTCTACTTCTTCTCCTCTAAGCTATGTTTGGGTCTTACCCAACTTATTCGCTAGGAGTGTTGAAGAGTGGCTCTACTCCCCCATCATCTCCATACCCACATGTTCCTATTTTGCCGTTCAGTGTTGTTGCTCCGGTGACATCTCAACTCTGAAACCTCCATACCAGATGGCGTCAAGGAATGGGGATGGTAGGGGTCTCCATGTGTCCGATAGTGACACCTTTCCTGTGGTATACAGGTCAATACTATTTGGGAATGATGACGAGCCTTTTGATCTCCCCATCACTCCTTACTGTAATGTTCCTCACTATCAGCTTAACTCTTTAATTTCCTCTCATTCGGCCAATGTTGAATGGTTTAGACAGCTGATGGGGTGGGTGAGCTTTGAATCGAGTTTCAGCCCGTTATCCGGTGATATACCGATGAGCTTTGATCCATTTGTTTCTGTCTCTACGATCTTTAGATGCTCTTATCTCGCCTTGACGCGAGTGTCTGCAGTATGCATGATTATATATGGCTGTGTTTTAACTGTTGAGGTATATGTATGGCTTTCTAACCATGAGTGGCAGGTTGGATATAAAAGCATCAGCATGTGTCTCAGCACTTTGCACCAGATTTGCGTGGTCTCTCGAAGACCGATTCACCTTTTTATGGAGTTTAATCTCCGCCCCAATCGCTCACTGAGTTTAAGTGATAAACTTCTATGGAGCATTATGTTGATGAAAGCGCCATGTTTCTTCAGTTCGTTGAATATTTATCCTGATGCGCAAGATTCGCCGGTATGGCAACGTTTCTCATCCCAGTATCATGACCTCATTGCCTTTGTTGCAGAGGGTCTAGCCTTTTTAGGCATGTCAAAGCTTGTCTGCAAGTCAGACTGTTATGAACTCACTTGCCTCTTTTCAGAGATTTGGCCTTTTGATGTTCTTGGATCTTATTCGCTATTCGATCCTCTATCCTATGTTATGTGTTTTCTTATGCTTGTAATATGGCAAAATTGCCTTTCTGACTTTGTATTTCCTCTGGTGATAGAGGTTAAGACTTAAGATTAATGAAATGTTGTTTGTCCAAAAAAAAAAAAATTTATAAACTTGCTATTATTTATGTTTGGTTAGTTCTTAATTTCTTATTGATTAAGGGTTCATGTCTTTGAAGGAATGCTTTTTCATTCTCAGATATATTCATCCATTGTTGATCACATTTTCAACCTGGAGGGTTTACATTATTACATAACATTAACTGAGAAAATGTCGATATTCCGTTTTCCAAACACAGTTTTTGTTTAAGTTCTTTTCAAACAAATAAAAAACACAGTTTAAGTTATGCAGTTGGTGCATGCTGTGAGATACAGTACAGTATAATTTTATTTTTTGGTTTAGGGAAATCAATCATGTATCTCTAAACATATTTAAGAAGAAAAGAATGTGGCAGATTTACCTAGTTTTTCACCTAATAGTACCCTTAATTCTGCAAAATGAAATATTATGTTTCCTTATTGTTTTTTGAATCACACAAGCTCGGCTAGTTTTTGCATACAAACCATATAACAATAACTTATGTTATTACTTGGAATTTGAATTAAAATTGTGATATACTCCCTCTGTTTTAATATAAGTGTCACTCTACAGCTATGCACACGGATTAAGGAAACAATTAATTTTACATATTTCCTATATAAAAACACAATTACCCACACACCTAACCATATTTTAACCAATAAAAAAACAAATTACATAACAAAATTAATAAATTTTGCATTGAAAACCGAAAACGACACTTATTTTGTAACACAAAAAATTCTCTACAACGACACTTAATATAAAACGGAGGGAGTATTATTATAGTGTTTTGGTTCAAAGCAAGAGTCATCTTAAGCATATCTCTCCAGGCTTCTTAAAAGTAGTGTGGACTATTAATACTTTCCTTGCTTCCCATACACACACAAACGATAAATAAGATTCCATTCATTAAAGAAACTCCTCGGTCATAGTAAAATCTCCACGAGCCTGCCTACTTATTTGTCCTTTGTGTCCTCTTTTCTGTACAGACTACATACCTAAGCTTTAGAGTTATGATGATGATAACAATGGGGCCGATTGGTCCTATTACTATGCTTGCTTCCCACACACACAAACCATAAATAAGAATCCATTTCAAATCAAAACTCCTCGGTCATTGTAAAGTCTTCACGAGCCTGCCTATTTATTTGTCCTTCGCATGGTGCTCTTTTCTAGACAAACCTTGGTTTTATAGTTCTGAAGATGATAACAATGGGGCCGCTTGGTCATTCCAGTACCGACTCTGGGTGCTTTAAATGGGATGAAGCACCCAAAGTCATATCTCATATTAACGTTTCATTCAACAAAAATGGAGTAACTTCCATTCAGTTTGGATATGTCGAGAATGGAGTTGTGGTCTTGTCTGAAACATACGGTTCATCATCATCTGTCTGTAGCAGGCGTATTGTAAGTCTCATTCTTTCCTCCAACTTTAACTTCATATACTGTGTGATATTTCATTTTATTATACATGAATCTGCAGTTGAGGCTCAACCCCGAGACAGAGTTTGTGACTGGGATACACGGGGAGATATACAATGGTTACATTTCCTCTCTGGCTTTTCATACAAATGAACGTACACACTATGCGGTTCACCGGACATTCGATTCAGGAGAAGTAGGTCTTGAGAAGATGGAATTTCATTCAGGGATACTTGAACGCCGTGAGTTTGGAGGTTTCTTTGGAACTTGTGACCATGCTCAGTTGAAATCTATTGGTTTCTATGTGAGGGTTCTGGTCCCACAATGTTATGGCTATCAAAGGGGAAGATGTTTCACAAGCAAGCCATGAAGACTTCTTGGTCTAATCTTGAAACACTATATGGTTTTACTAGACTACTCATGTGGTTTTAGTCTAATCTTTCCTTAAGAGTCTCAAGAATAATTTCGTTTCTCAGCTTGTTATGATGAATTGAGTTTAGTGTTTTAATCAGCTATGAAATAAAGTAATCAGGAGTCTGTGCTATGATAATAAACTGCTTGGTTTTAACACTGCTCCCAATCATTTCTTATGGATAAACAATTTCTCTCTGCAATGAAACTTAATGTTATTACTGAGTTTAAGATTTTAAAGGACAGATTTGTATCTTGGCCAAAGCAAAACCTGTTCTTAAACCTTGACCAAATTGTCATGGAAGATCCATAAAAACGGCTCAAAGCCACATGATTATTTTCAAGAAACAGAGAAGTCACACAAAACTAACCTGAACTGAAACAAAACTCCACAGTGAAAACTGAGTACAGACCAGACAATTCAACTGTTTTTAACTACAACAAGTTTACTAAAAGGACCAAACACAAAACATTTAATGACTGGAAAAAAAAAACACAAAGTTACTAAATCACTGCTTCTCAACTTTGTAACTAGACCCACGAACATTATCAGAGTAATCTACACCAATTTCAAGAGCAGAAGGATCAAATGAAGAACGGAGAGTGAAAATGGTTTCATGTCTTTGTCTCCTTTCTAGAGCTGCACTTCTCTATCATGTATCCAGCTGAAAGGAATCTTGGGTCCTTTCTTGGCTCTTGCTTGAGCTCTCTCATCCAACCTCCTGATTCTTGGAGTCAGTCCACATAAATACTCCTGTGCTTTGTTTCCTTCACCTGAAAGCCCGGTCAAGTTCTCAATCTTCCACCTCCCAACCAAAAACTCAAGAATGTCGGCATAGTCTTTAGCAGTGTAGACACCAAGCCTCTGAGCAACGGAAGAAAAGTTGTCAAAGAGATTGTCATCACGCCCATCGTACATCAAGTGAGCAGGCATTGAGATTTTCTTCCTCATCATGTCTGCAAACGCCACCACAGTACCATCAGGATCAATCTCAAGGAGCTTCTCAACTATCTTGGTGTAAGCTGTCTCATGACGCTTCTCGTCTGCCGCTATTGTCCCGCAGATTTGAGCTAGCTTGAGGTCTCCATGCTCTTTGGCTTGACGAGCTGTGTTGCCGTGAGAGACGAAGGTGGCTCTTTCTTGAAATGAAGTGTAGATGAAACCAAGGTAAGGATTGTTCTCTGTCCTTGGATCCTGTGACATTAAACTGATTAGAAACTCATATTAACCAAGAGGCGTATGATTAGAAACTCTCTTACCATTCCTGAACCAATCAAGTACTGAATGGTTTTTTCAATCTGCCTCATGTCAACACGACCAGACAAGTAAAGATACTTATTCAAAAGATCACCATGTCGGTTCTCTTCAGCAGTCCAAGCTCTAGTCCAAATAGCCCATGAAGTGGGGCTAGCACCAGTTTCATCCCTCACTCCATCCAAAGTGTTCAACATAGTTTGATAGGTCGGAAGCGCTTCTTCCGTGATCATGTCTCCCACTAAAACAACGAAGTAATCATCAGGGAGCTCTCTTGCCCTCTCTCTTAGCTCTCTTACCTGATCTTCAAACCCATCGGATGCAGGGTCGGGTAAGAAGTCCTGTGGCTGCCACGACTTCTCCACGTCTTTGAGATGAGTTAGAAGGTTCTGCTCGGCCCAGTTTTCCAGAGATTTGAAGATCTCGATCTTTTGGGGTGGCATGGAGTGCAGGACTTGAACGTGCACTTCCCTAGGGGGAGTAAATGGCTTCTTCAAACTCTCAACCTCCCTACATGAACCAAGAAAATAGAGGTATCATCAGCATTTAGTTTATACTTTCATTGAAACAAACATGAACGGTCTTACTTCTGATGCACACAGAAGAAACAAGAACAAACATTTGATTTCATTTGTATAAGCATTCATGACTATAACTCTAACTAGATGTTATTTATGCATCTATTGCAGTACAATGTTCACTATGCAATGGGAAGCACGAAAAATAAAACTTACATGGAGTGAAAGGTAGAGACAACAAACGAGATGAGATAGAGACAAGATAAAAAAAAAGCCAAAACAGAGTGAAAAAATTACAGAAAAAAGTGTGAATATTTTGGACGTAAACTATAGAGAGAGAGAGAGAGAGGCCACGAAGTAAGCATGCATAGACGCAAGATGTCATCTCAAGGAAGAGCCCTCTATAAGAATCGTGAAATCCAACGTAACGTATGAGAAGAACGTAAAACAGACGTAAAGTGACACGTTCAAGAATCTCCGCTCAATGCACAGAAACAACAAATGAGTAAGCAACAAGTGGTGGTAATGCATTTCAGATTTAAATATAAACAAAAATTTGCAGCAGGGGAAGAACATCCAAGAATTCAAAAAAAAAAAATTGAGTAAGAAGCTAGCTGAAAGTCACATTTTTTTAATGTCTAATAAGCAATCTAAAGATCATAGCAAATGGTGCTAATCTTAACAGACACCACGCCACCCATTAGTACAGCAATCAAAGTAGAATGTAAAATAATCTGATGCAGAACAGTTCTGATGGTAAAGGCAAAGACTTTATACATGGAGCAATCTCAGAGAAACCAATGAATCAGATTCAAGAAAGAAAGCATTAATGGATCAATGCCCTGAAACAAGAGGATGCCCCCATCTTTAATCACTATCCTCAGATTAAGAAAAAACAAAAAAAGCACACCCATTTATTATCAAACTCGAGATTCAGCAAATGTGAGTAGACAATACTAATCTATAATCAAGAAAATCAAGATCCATAATCAACAAACAAGGAGCAACACAGAAACATAGAGAAACAAGGAACCGAATCTCATCGTGACATAAAGAGGGTGGAGAGAGAGAGACTTGAACCTGAGAGCCGGTGAAGAAGAGGAAGCGAGGCAGAGGAACTTGGGAGATCTGAAAGTAGAGATTGGCGGACGTGCCGAGGAAGGGAAGTTGTAAGGCTGAGATGCCAAAGGGTTAAGCTTCATCAAAGCCATTCTCTTCTGAGGTTTGTCTTCTCTCTCGAGGCTAATGTTATCACTGTGTCTCTTTGGCTCTCTGGTTCCTTCTTATAAAAAAAGGTTGAGTTTCGTCCACAGAAAAGAGAATGGCTTTATGAATAAACAGCGGCAAGGGAAGACAAGTCCAATACCCAGACAGAGAAGTGACACGAAACAAATAATTAATTAAAAACGAAATATGACGTCATATATAGTGTGTGAACTCAAAATAACAAATTTTTATAATCAAATTCATTTTTATTTTTTTTGAAAATTAAGCATTGATCTAAGATCTAACTTAAATAGCACATCATTGTCTATATAGTTTTGGGAGTATCAATGTCGGCAACATTATTAACAGTGAAAACGCAATGGTGGAAGTAGAATTGCAACCAAAACATTTAAATAAAGTTAGAAAATTATGATATTTTCAGTGAAAGATGCCATGAAACAAAATTCAGAAATTAACACTTTGATACTGTAAATACATGAAACAGATCAATGACAACTAATGCTAATATTTGTCTCTTTTTTTTTTGAAAACTAACTAATACTAATATTTGAAACGAAGATTTTATCGTTTACTCTATAAGTATAATTTATATTTTTTATATACAAAATACTCTTGAGATATATCTACTCTAAATCAATAGCTAACTAACTGAATCTTGTTATAAACGTTTCAAATTGGCAAATGTAGTTATTTTGGCTTTCTTTCTTTCTTTTTTTTAATCCAAAGAATATGTTATATGCTTCCAAGTTAAAGGTCAACATACATGATTAGATGTGACTTATGAGCTCTGAGCTCTTCTTAGGTGAGATATAAGATGATTAGATGGCTTTATTTCATCTCTTAAACATGTAATTGTAGTTGTGATTTAGATCTAACAAGGGTAAAAAGGTCAATATAAATGCAAGTGTTTTTATTTAAAACTTTGTAAAATTCAAGGTATCTAGGGCGTGATAATCGACGAGAAAGCAAGGAGACAAGTGGCATAGTTTCTCCACGTGGATGTCTCACTTGGCAAAAGAAAGTAATATTGACCGTACTTTGGTTCTGCATTTCTCTGCATCATTCAACGTCTTTACTATATGCTCTCCCAGTTTCAGCACAACGTTTTCCACTGATAGCACAACGATTTGTACTTGAAAACCGCGACAAAACTATTAAAATACTACAACTAATTTGTTTTAAGGTATTAATAATGTTTTGGGAGTATGTGTTATTGTCCTGATTGGTGCTTTTCCAGTTTTACAATACCAATAATCTATTAAAAAGATTGATTAGCAAAACTAAACCACTGATTAGTTGAAAATACATTTAATTTATCCAAGTACTAGTTTGCGAGCAAGAAATACACAAGTAGTACAACGTAAATGTAAACACACAAACACGTACTTCTTAGGTCACATGTGTAAATAACACACGGCCGATGTAAAAGTAGTAGGTACATGAATAAAACGTTACATTCAGGGGCGGAGGTAGTCAAGAGGAAGGGGGGTCACTGGTTAACATTCATTACAGTCAACAACTTGCAAATATTTGTAAAGGAAACACCACCACGTGTTCAAATCTTATCAAACGTCGACGACAATCACTTTTTCCGGTCCGGCAGAAGTCACAGGTAACGTGACTGTCAAGAAAATAATGTGCATATATACAAATAAACAAGTTGGCAATGTCACAGCCAATTACGTAGAACATGAACCAGATAATACATTTAATACAATGAACAACAGAAAACATTTTAGCAATAAAAAAAACAACAGAAATGTTTGTAAAGCAACATGTCTACTTAACCACACACAATGCATTCATTACAGTGAACAAAAGAAATGTATATAAAACAACACGTCATACATCATTAGCCATTACACGACCGACCTGGAGATCACGTCTCAACGTCCCTGGGAGGTAAAAGGTCCCGTAAGAGTCAAGATACCAATGGACCCTTGTGTATTCAAAACACCAAGTGCTCCCTCTGTAAGTAATCTCAGACCACATTCTGATCTTCTCGGCTTTGACAATATCTAGAAGATTATCTGGAAGCTGCACATCACCGTTCAAGATCTTGATTACCGACATGTCCGGCCTAATTGTTGCAACCTGATGCGAACACAACACTCCTAGTTTCAAAACAAGCTCGATCTGTTCTCCACGGAGTCTTTCACTAGCTGCCTCAAGAATATCTCCCTTTTCCCAGCATTCTAACGTCCATTCAGCAAGGAAGGCCTCGTTGGATGGTGCTCATGGCTCTATCAACCTTCTACCGCAAGAAACTTCTAACATAAACAGCCCAAAAGCATAAACATCTGTGCTTGTGGTTGCTCTTCCGCTTCTTATAAGCTCAGGTGCTATATACCCAATAGTTCCAATTACTCTAGATGTATGTGGATCAAAACCCTGATCATACAACTTAGCCAAACCGAAATCTCCGAGCCTTGCATCCATCTGATGGTCAATGAGGACATTACCAGGCTTGATGAAGATAGCAGAGTGCAGAGGCAACATCTTTGATGATCTTGAAACGTTGATTCCAAGTTATTTGCTCTTGGTTCTCTCTGCGGTAGAGGTACTTGTCAAGACTTCCATTGGGCATAAAGTCATAAACCAAGTAGAGTTGCTCTTTGTACCTACAATAACCTTGAAGCCTGACTAGGTTTGGGTGTCTAAGCCTACCAATGGTCGATATCTCGGCTAAGAACTCTTGCATTCCTTGTCTGGAGTCATGAGAGATTCTTTTAACAGCAATCTCTGTGTCAGAACCTGGAAGAGTGCCCTTAAAGACCTGACCAAACCCTCCTCTACCTAGGATTTGTTTGTCATTAAAACCCTTTGTGGCCTTGAAGAGTTCCTTGTAAGAAAACCTATGAGGACCACACTGAATCTCCCATTCTTCTAAAACCTCCTTTACCATTTTGTGTCTCTTATAGAAGAAGATACTTGAAGCTGAAGCAACAAGTGCAACAAAGAGAGCAAATGTCAAGACGGTCACCAAAACAGTCCGCTTTACCTGAGAGTTTGGGTTTGGATATGGAGGAAATGTTGGTATTGGAAAGTCCAAGTCTGGAACAGAATGGTTGCCAAGGACAAACCAAGTCCACATGTAATGCATTGCTCCAACCAACCCCGTAGAAGCTGAGAAGCCCATATACATATTCTCCAAAACATAGGGTGACAGATCTTGGTTCAGTGAAAGAAGCGGCTTCTCAGGGTAATAAGCCTCTTCAGGTGATGATAAAGTGACGTTAAGCTGTTTCTTTTCCCCGTTATACAGAATCGTGACTCTTAGTAGCTTTCCACTGATCAAAGAAATGTTTCTGAATTGACCATCTTTATCAAAGTAACCAGCAGGAGCAGATTTAATAGATCTCATATTGTTTATGTTGATACCAACATGGTTATCATCAATGTCACCAAACTCATCATCTTTGTGTATATCGAGCTCCACAGCGATGATATGATTCGAGCTGTTCCCATTGTTTGCTTTGTTAAAGATTCCAAGGTACTGATCAGCAGACGCACCTGGAATTCCTCTCGTGGGAGAGATCACAAACGCCATACCATGAGAGCCTTTGTGCTTATGCTCAGGGACAATAGCAAAAAAGAAGGTGACAGAGAAAGAAGGCACGGTACCATTTGTGAAGTTATTCTTGAGTGTAAGTATCTCGTCGTCGAAGGCTTGACCATAGGCGTGCTTCTTGGTGTTTGTCAACGACGTGAAACCATCGATTAACCCTATGGATCCCTCCCACACCAGCTTGCAATGGGAGTATTTGGTATTAGACAGAGCAATGATCAGCATAACCATCCACCAACCAAGTTTACGAGACATAATGATTACTGATAAATTGAGAGGCTTACAAGGCAAGAAGATTATACAGTCTATAGTCTCTATTGTTGTATATCTTTATAAGCAAGTCAACTAATGACTTATGAATTATGATACACGAAACACATGAACTTTAGTCAAAATCCCTGCAATAACTTAAACCAGAGAGCTACAGATTTTCGGAATTAATAGAGTTTAAAATCAATTGGTTAACATGATGTCTAAATCATTCATGGGTCATGGCAATAATCAAATAGCTGGTCAGAGAAAGACATTTTCTTAAAATCTGAAAGTGACCAGAAGATAATATTAAAGATCCAAATTTTCCAAATAAAAGACAGGTTATTCGGCTTTAAGCCTTTGACTAAGCCACAAGAAACACATGAATTAGTCATGGCGCAAGATTAAAGATAGAGTTAGCAAAGTCCATATCTTGAATAATTTAATTTATAATTAGTTTATATCTATAACAAAAAGTCAACTAATGACTTCAGACACAGAGAACTAGACAAGAACTGCAAATACCGAAGGACAGAAAGCTACAGGTTGCAGAGTCAATGGAGTCCAAAATATTCATCATCATAGGACAACGAACGAGCTAGTCAAATATACATCATAATTTTTTTAAATAAGTCCACCCTGAATACAGTAGTGACATCTGTTTAGTACAAGAAACATCTAAACTATTAAAACTGAAGTACAATTAGTACTTAACCCTGATTTTTCCTTAATATTTACCATTCTATGCCACTACTTTAATAATAACTATCTATTTAATACAGTCTTTTATTACTTTAAATAAAACGTAACCGATTAACATAACTTCCTTCCGATATTTACTGTAGTAATTGACTCTTGAATAATTAACTTTTTTG